ATCTTACGATCCATACAACTTTTCGCATTTATAATGTTAATAGGATAGACGAATAAACAGGTGCTTTTGGATTTTGCGTCATGCATTGTCATACATGTGCACTGAAAATCTCGTCTAATAATTGTTGGAAAATTGCTTTGTAATAAGCGAACTTTCATCCTTCCATTTATTTTAGTAATATACAGCCTTACTAGAGACAACAAGATTGATATGGCTAAAGGTAAAAAATACACCAATGTGTATTAAGTCATTACTTTGATTTATTTGTTTTACTTGTTTATTCTTTATTAGCCACACTACAAAAAATGTTTAATACAAAAAGCGGACTTAATGCTACAGCATTCTCTTTTCATTCTTTCCTTTTTAGCAAACCAGAAATGTAATTATGCGGTAAAAAAAATGTAAATTGTTTTAGATAAACAGTTGATTTAATTAATTATATTATTATATAATGATTATTATCGTCACACCGCTAGCCATTCATAGGGAGTTCATCCTTACATCTTAGAACCTAAATAGTCGCACACAGTTACAGACGTTCATATGCTACAGTGACCGTTTACCATCAGAAGGGCTGTCTGCTTGTTTGCCATCTTCTTAGTATAAAAAAAAAATATATTAAAAATCGAGTATAATTGTACTACTTTGTAAGGACCACTTCAATAAATGGAAAGTTTTTCTCTGTTCTTTCACATTTTTCGTGTACTATAGTAGTTTTTTAGCATATCACACAGAGACGTTTGAACTGTTATTTCTGTATGTGTATTTGTTTGTAAAAATAAGATAATCTTGTAGCTAATCCTTACTGACTTTATAACATGTAAATGAGTTTGTTTGTTTGTTACCTCTTAATGCTTTCCGTCAATATTTACTTTAATCCTTGTCAGTCAATATATTGTAGTCACGAAGAGGAAGTTGCGACTAAAAGTTAGTTATAAGTTTTATGATGATCCAGCTTAAATTATAAAAGTTATGACAGACCTACATATAGAATGGTCACGCACAGTGCGGTTACTTCCTTCCACGACCACTCAGGTTGTGGAATGATCTTCCTATCGAGGCTTTCCCTAGCGACTACAGCATGAGGTTATGAAAAAGAGCGTATAAGGGTTTCTTAAGAATCGGCAACGCGGGCGTGATATCTCTGGTATTACATTCAGAGGCTACGGTAACCTCGTTTACCATCAGAGCCGTATGCTTGTTTGCCATACCCATTACCATATTCCATAGCAGTATAAACCATTACCATAGCAGTATAAAAAAGATATTTATATGTAGAGACAGATATGATGAAATTATAAGATATATTCCATTTGACGGGTTTTAAATGGATTACCATAATATCTACTAAAAATGATATTTACCTTTATGATAACGTATATCATTTGGATTTTTTCGTAATCTAATACTATTACAATATTAAAAAAAAGAAAAAAAAAATCCTTGACTGTTTAATATTCAATTAATAATAAACAATTACAAAACACAAAATAATCCTATTCATTGGATGTGTCAATCGTTCAATAAATAAAATAAGCGAAAAATTCGATATCTTTCAACAATATACCAATAGTATAGAAAAAATACTGAATAATTTTTGAAATAGTATAAGTTATGATCTGTAAATATATCTGTAAAAGCATTATAACGTTTACTTTAACCTATTGATAATGATGTTATCGATATAAACTAGAAGTGAAGGATTATAATTGAAAATGAAATTAGGTCAGAAAAATAACCACAATGGTTAGCAGGGGGAATTGTATGGAGGTCAACATTATAGGGTATATTGTCAGCAACGAGATTTTAATATTACATTAATAACTATACCTTTATCGCCACAATGTTAAGTAAGCAAACTGTGTATATATAAATTTTTGTATTGTCTTTTGTTATAAGATATACTCATTTTCGTTTGCAAACTGTCATTGTAACTTGTAACAAATAAATAAATATGTCTTTAGTTATATAGATACTTAGATATATAGACAAATAACGAAATTAAAGATTACCGATGACTCCATTTGAGGAACCGTAAATAGATTACTATTACTTACATCTACCGTAAATGATATCTATCCGTTTACGTTTCCATTTCGTTTTACCTTCTAATAAAATATTACTCAGTATTAAAGAAAATACTTATTTCAATCATCCTAATAAGATTTTCTAAAAAATTGTAACCAATATAATTATTAATTCCAGATAGGGTCTTATATATACATACTTTATAATTCCAGATAGGGTTGCCAGGGGTGGTGAACTATTGTTAGTAAAGGTAACACTCAACTCAAACAAACAAACATGGCTCGGGGCGACTCTGTCGTCGTCTTGTTTTTGATTGAATATCAAGTTTGTTAACAGTGTTTTCCATCAGTGAAGAGAAAGAGAGAGAGGAGAGGGAGAAAGAGAAAGAGACACAGAGTGCATATAAAAAGTTTTTGAAACACTGTCTTTGAAGTCTTTCAGTTGGGATAGTAAAACATTAACCCACGATGCTCTTAATTAATTATATTTCTATTGATGACAGAAAGAAAATCTCTTTCCTGTAACTTTAAGATATCATGACAATTATTTTTTAATTAAGTTAAGCTATTAATTAAAGTATAATTTAAATCTACAGATTGTAAACGAGGTGCGGTAGGTACACGTTTCGCTGCATTTTCAAAGATGTGCGAGTCAAGATCGCCACTTCACGTGGCTTCAGAGCGCAAGCGCGAAACACAGGGTCGCGCCATCCAAAAATATTAATACCCTTTATTATATTCACAATTGCCATTAATGTTCACTGAAATGGATATTTCTTTTATGAATTATTAAGGTATTTACGAGGTATTTTTTTCTCGAGTGGTAAATAAGTCATAAATTTATTTATTTTCACTTTATTTCACTACTTGTAAAAACAATAAATACAGTTAATTTTGATAAGAATTAATACAAAAGACGACCTTATCACTGAGCAATAAGTGATTAGCTAAAATTAATTATTATTATTTGAATTCTCTTATTCTATATATTAGTAGTAACTATTAATTCAAGATCTTTATTTATATGTAGATATGTATCTAATAATAACCAATGACATATTTACCACAAAAATATCTCTCTCTTTTTATTTAAGAGTTTTCTCCTGTCAGTGCAACTAACTGACTAGAACTGGCTCGAAGAAAATGTATGAAGCATCTTTTTCCAAGTGACTCTCTTCTTGGCCATATCTTTGATCTATACGACATAAAACCTAGTATTTTCTTTATCTGTCCCATGTAGTTATTCCTCGGAGAATGAAAAAGATAAGTTAGACAGAAAAAGTAACAAACGAGGAAGTCTTGAAAAGGGTATATAAGAATTTAATGATCTTCATTAAAGAAAAAAATGGAGAATAGAAGAGGCAAAATGCTGGGCTACCTTATACAACATGACGATTTTTTAAAGAGCATAGTAGAAGGAAAAAGAAAAAGAGGGAGAGGAAGACCGAGGAATAACTACGAAAAATATACTTAGCCATAATTAATATCGATTGTTTATGATTGTTAAAGTTTTGTATCTAAGTATGTATTTATTTAAAATAATATATTAATCTGATTTCCTGATATTGAAAGTGACAATACTTTTTTGAAGTCAACTATTTAATGATAAATAATATAAATGACAATTAGTTAATCTCATGTCTGTCAAAAAAAAAGAAAACCGTTTAGAATATACATACAACAATATATTTCGCACACATCTTCTTATCAATGTTTTGGTACTCGAATACGAGCCAGTTATAAATGTTTCCAGAATTGAAAAAAGAAGGAGATTGGAAAACAAAGAGCATTGTGCCACTGAATATCTTCTTTGTTAGAATCGGGATAAGAAATGAAGTACTTAAACATAGATATCTGTAATATATATAAATATATATGTATGTATATATATACATATATATACATGTATATAGCCTGATAGATACCTGAATAATACCTATCTGTAATCAGAGATTATACAAACTCGATTAAAATCAATTATAATATAACCGCAGACAATCCAAATACCGATCTTCCCATGAAGCGTTAATTTGTGCATTTCAGGTCTTATCGTCTCCCGAGAAACACTGTTATCTCAGAGAATTCACTAATTTACAATCTACGAATGAATATTTAATAGGAGTGTGTCACCCCTGAAAATTCGGATTCTCGTAGTAGGCATAGAATAAACAGTGTCCACCCATTTCACGTAGAAGCGTCGTAGGCAGTAATTGGAAGAACATCTGTGAGGACAGGAAATAAAAAAAAGTATATATGTATATTATAGGTAGCTTATTCTAAAACTAACCGAAATATTTTAAAGCAAATGGTGAGAGTAATTTATCTTTGAAATGACATAATTTTGAAGTACCTACCTATGTAATGTTAATTTCTTCATATTGCTACGTTTACCAAACAATCCTTAGTTAGTGAAAATGACAAAGAGTAAACAAATCATGCAAAATCGACTTTCATCACCTATAAGTAGCTTGTTATCTATTATATATTATTATCCTCTCTCCAACCAAGTAACTGCTTTTACAGCAGCAACTATTCAAGGGTTTACCATCCAATGTTCCTTACATTATTAGCCGTCACTCTGACCTATTATTTTTCTGACGCGATCTAATCTTACCAAATATCAACTATTCTAGATTGGCGAAAAGGAATTGTTGATAATTAGGTCTAATGGCCCCATTACTGACAATTTATCAGGACGAATTCTATGGTATTCTGTGCTCTCGGTAACCATCATAGTTAATTCTTAATGATCACATAATGGTGTTCTGCTCGCGTATATCAATAGTGCACGAAGTGATAAAATTCCATTATTAGCCATTAAAAGAATATTCTAGGTTTAAAATTTAATATTACACCCAGAATGAATTTTTCACTATTCTGCCCATTTCAGCATCTACTCCTTTCAATGACTACGCGAGGGTTTGAAGGGGTGACGCGGGGCAGGGAGGAAGCGGGCGAGAGACGCAGCCTCCCCGGCAACGATTACTGATTAGTGTGCGACTGCCGGCGTGAGCGGCGGGTCCGCCCGCTTGGTGTACCCGCAATGCCGCCACGGGCTCCCGCCAACGACCCTCAAATCCTCAATGGTCAGCAACTCCTCCGCCCCACGCGGACAAGTCTAGATCTCCCTGTAACCTTTCGAACCCGTGCTGTGAACTGACTACGCACGGAACAGCTGATCGGCCGGTCACGCCTGTACATGTGCTCACACACTTACTACGTTTGTGCAATATTGTATATGAATGTGTCGTTGACGTTTCCGTACATGCATGGGATGGCAGTTGCGTGTCTATTGATGGCTTTTTCTCGGTGAGTTCATTATCGCTTCTGTTTGTTTACAGTTAGTATCTTAAGGAATTATCAAAAAGTTTACGGTATATACCATTATATCTTTAAAATGTTTTTATTGACTACGAAACTGTACTTGGAAGTAATAAAAATATATTCACTACTCAACCAAACGTTCATTCAATTATCCGCGTGAAAGGATCTCTTCTGTTTGTTATTCTACCATCAATTTGAATTTCTTTTCATTAGATACTAATAAAAGCGAGAAAGAGAGAGGATTAGTCAAAATTATCTCTTTAAATGTATAATTTTATTAGTAAGAAAGTAAAATGAAATGTACAATAACTAGGTAATCTTTAAAAGTAACTACATGCCAATGCATAAGACATTGGGCACTGCCACAAAGAACAAAGTATTAAATTATAATTAGGTGTTTAAGTCTATTTATATATACCTTAAAATTAATATTTAAAAATAAAAATTGATTTCATGGCATTAGAAAAGTACTTATTTCACAAATTTATATGTATTTATGCTGCCATTAAAATCTTTAAACAAAATTCATCTAATTCTATAAATGTCCCTGTGTCATTTCTGCTCGTAATAATTTGTAACAGTTTAATAAAAATCTTATTATTAATTATTTATTTTCTAGTTAAATTGATTTTAATATAGATACGTATGTAAAATTCTATATAATTTTATTAAGATAAACTCCTTACATAAATAACTTTAATCTTGACGATTCGCGACTTGTCTAATCAACCAAACTTCGTTATTTCGAATTGATGTCGGAATATCTTTATATATACATAAATGGCTATATTTATCGTTTTAATTTTCTTGGTTTTTGTATAAAAAAAATCGTGGCATGAGTCAATTGCTGGAAGTCTAGCGTAAAACGTAGCTCTGCTTCGAAATTTTTTCACTTATAAGTTTGTAATGTAAATTTCATGTCTGCAATGAAATAAGTTCATACCGATATTAAACTTCCAGATGTGAAGTAATATTTTGTTCATTCATAAATTATCACAAAGGACCAAAGTTATTTGTAGCTACTATTTCGAGAGTATTCGATTCAAGATTTTATTATGAAGTCCATGTTTCCAATTTGTTTGATTTCCAGACATATGGTACGCATGACTCTTAAGAAAGTTCTGGCCTTTATTTCTTTCATCCTGAAACTAGCAGGTGTAGTGCTTATGGATAATAAAAAACTAAATGGAGTCACGACATGAAAATGAAATCGGGTCCTTATTTGTTTACTTTTTTACGCACAATTAAACTTGTATACTGGCTAAACTCACCATCAGATGGCACTGTTTACCAATTGACAATTACAATGCATAGAGAGAATGAAAAGCAGTGCAGAGAACTAGCAAATATTCAAATTAAACCATAAACAAAATTCTTAAAGATTCTTAATGGGGATGCCTTTAGCATTGCTCTGCAATTTTTACATCGTTTGGCCAGTCAATCTCGAAACAATGGCTCTATGGTGTTCTTCCATGAAGAAATTTATCGACAAATCTTCAAAATTCGGGCCACCATTTGTAACAAGCGAGAGAACCGAGTGATATCTTGTACAACGGATCGCCACGGTTATCCAGTGAGGCTATGCGGCCAAAGTTCTCAGAGCTATTTCTATTGGACAGACCTCTTTGGTTTCTGAAGCAAGCTAGTCGTACCGTGATGTTGAATAATCTATTCCAAGTAATGAGCTATCAAATGCAAACACTTTTTTTTTTAATTCGACTGGTACTTTCAGATATTTGCAGGCGCGTTCACACAAATTTTTCTGCTTTATTATATTAATATTGATTTCTTATTAATTTTTCATTTTATACAAATGAATCGCCTATATATTATTAATTAACGATATGTTCAGGCTTCACACAGATAATACCTATCTGTTTAATTTTGTATTGGTCTAATTTTAAAAAATAATATACTATATAACCTACAAAATTATCATATTAATTATTATTATTATAATATTAATATAGAAATATCAAATTGTAATATCGTGGCTTCATTATGGGTTTTTAAAATTGCTTTCACTTAAATTTTTATGCCAACGTTGAAAATACTGAATAAAAACATTTGTCCCATTCGTGAAGCAGTTGTTTTTTTTTTCGACCTCGCCTGCGCTAAAGGTATACGCTGGCGGGGCACCAGTGAGAGGTGATAGGTGAAGACGAAGCAGGCCAGTTAGCCCACCATGACAAATCTAACAATAAATCAATCACGCTGATTTCCAGGGGGAACCACAAGGAGGTCGACCTGACAAGGCATATTGCTAGCAATGGGGCTACTAAACCCCATTACCAACAATTCCTTCTTCCCCCCAAGCAGTTGTGTTTGCATGGTTGTGTTTTGGTTTGAAAGATGGGATATGGCAGTGAATTTACAGAATACAGAGGAATAACATTTGAGTCCTCAGGAATAGCAACGCATGTGTACCCCCATGGACGAAACAGTATACTCTGTTATATCCATGTTACTGCTCATGTCTATAGGCGATGGTTACCGCTTTCCATCAGGTGGGCCGTCAGCTTGTTTGCCATTCTAAGTTGCATAAAAAAGAAATATTATTGTAATTTTGTCACTGTTTTATTTGAAATTCTAATTAGGACTGATGACATAAAAACCTGGTATCCTTAATAACTGATTTCATAAATATTCATAAAATATCCAACATATTGTGTATAAATACGAGCACTTTGATATATTATTCGAAATTGGGCTTGATGTTTTCATTTTAACGATAAATGTAACTGTACGAATATGAGCATTATTCAATTTTGTGGTCTCGGCAAAAAGGGGATCGGAGCCCACCCATTCAAACTTAATACACAAATCATTATGTTTATGCTCATGTTTGAAGTACTCGTATGTTTAATTATGATACTTGGTATTTTATGTCTTTATAAACATAATCATATTCATAAGTACTATATACAATGTATTTGATTACGAACATTTAAAAAAAAACTACGCCTATCTCCCATTGTGGTAGACAGAAACAACTTTTTAAAGGACCACTGCGAAGTACGTCGCAGTAAGTATTTCCATACCATTTATACTGCGGTAGTACTTGTGAAATAATAAGAATTCATTAATTTCTTTTTAAGAGTTGCGTTCTAGTCGCCTTGGTTTCCATCTTCCCCTCCTTCTATTTTACCTTATATTAGGATGTTTATAATTTCGTCTTATCATATCAATTGTCACAATATTTTCTGATTTCTTAATAGTTTTTACAATTTATCGCTTTTTCTTGACCCTAAATAGTACCTCTTCATTATTAATTAAATGTTAGTAAATTATTTTTATGGCACGGGTCTTTTCTTTTATAAAATCAAGCATACTATTATTACGCTGGCAAGCTTTGACGGGGTTCCATTTCTAAGGTTTCAATCCGAGTTTTTCTTCTCTCGTGGACTTACTACAACAATAGACCACTAGATATGAAAGAAAGTGGTGGCATATTGTGCCTATTTAAGAATATTTATTTATTATTTATTTACTTAAAGAAAGATTAACGGACTATAGGTAAACAACATTATTATACTACGGATTGTGCTCAGAGGAATTATTCAATATGATGCCTACGGCCACTTTCTATCATCGTACGGCTCGCCATCGACAGGGAGTTCACCCTCACACCTTACAGCCTAAATGGTCGTGTACAACGCGGTTTCAGAGATGCTTTCTCCCACGAACACTCAGGTTATGGAATGAGCTCCCTGCCGAGGTTTTCCCGAGAGACTACAGCATGGGCTTCTTCAAAAGGGGGGTAAAGAGGTTTCTTCAGGGTCGGCAACGCGCGCGTAATACCTCTGGTATTGCAGGCGTTCATAGGCCATATGCTTGTTTGCCACCACAGTGGTATAAAAAAAAAAAACAAATTCTTATACTATGTAAAATATATCTCTATTACACACATGGACTTGGCCAGGTGAATAGGCTATAAGCATTTAGGCAAACCTACGAAATAAAGCCAGTAAAATTAATTAATCAATATTTTGCACTTTATTATTTAAATTTAATAATGTCTTTGAAACTATTATCTAAATTGACATTTCGGATTTACACTAGAATTATATGTGAATACAATTCTATATTGTAATACATATTTATTGCGACTAATCTTTTAATAAAATGATTTTTAACCCTAATACTAATAATACCTCCATCTTCTTGACGTATAAGATTTATGATATTTTCTTAGACACCATTAAAGGTAGCAATATCTCGTGACGATAATTTAAGGGTATGAAACCATTTGGTTTAAAAGACTAAATGGTACTTTTTATATACTTAATGTTAAGTCTACAATTTAGAATTAATTAATGTATACATTAAATTCATAATCTATAAATAGAATGTTTAGCTGAATTGTCAGTTAATATAAACGGTAGTATCTATATAGTGCCCATTATATTAAATCTATATTAATTTTATTTAGAAGTTATATCTATATTTATTCCTTTATTTTAATTAAAATAATAATTCGGATAGTATGAATAATTAAATTAGACTTGTAAGTATTATTACTTGAGTACTACAAATTTATAATTTTATGAAGATTGCTGTTGAAATCTATTGATCATAAAAGCTAAAGATAAATACATATTTATTTTTTTAAATTGTTATATTAATATGAATATTACGTATGAAATTATATTCTATTATTATTATTATTATTATGTGATGAATAAAATTTTGTATCAGTCGATCTTTGAACCCAGACTTTCAAATGCGTTGATGTGTGCTCGTATAAGTTACAAATACGGGTTCAAATCCTGCCACTTTAAATTTTTTTGTTTTTGATCTTAGCACTATTTTATTATTGAAATCAGGTATATTTTTCATATTTTAATATATCTATACTAATATTATAAAGAAGAAATATTTGATAGTGTGTTTGTAGTAGATAAACTCAAAAACTATTAAACCCATTCTAAAAAAAATTTCGCCTATTGAAAGCTACATTATCAGCGAATGATATTAGCTATATA